CCATAAGAGCACTGCTTTCTCTCTCTCTCTCTCTCTTGCGGGCAGAGGTAGGGCGATGTCGCGAAGGGATGGAGATGGGGAGGAGTGGAGGGTGCTCCAGAGAGAGATCATGTACTGCATCTGGACATAAGGATACGCAACATCATTAGCTATTTTTAGTTGTTATAACTCTCCTTAAATCCTTCGATTTCATTTTTAGTTTGTATTTGTAGTGTTATCATTGAAGATGGTGGATATGGGAACGGGCGATAGTGGGTAAGGAGATCGCGGCGCTATCGTCTTTCCTCCAAATATAATGAGAGGGGGGGGGTTGTAGTGGGTTGTATTTGGACATTTCTATGCTTGCCTGATCCTGGGGGGGGCTGTATTCGGGGGTGGAAGGTAATATGCGGATGTCAAGGAGACGGCGAGAATGACATGGCACTGATGACGGTGATCATGGGGAGAGGTGGGGGGTGTACTACACACACACACACACACACACACAGAGAGAGAGAGAGAGAGAGAGAGAGAGAGAGAGAGAGAGAGAGAGAGAGAGAGAGAGAGAGAGAGAGAGAGAGAGAGAACAAGGATATGGCGGCGGCGGTGATAAATATGGAACTGATGATGACGGTTCTGATCTTGTATATATATGGAGATGGTGATGGTGGATGATGAGTCGACTATGGGGATGTCGATGATTGAGAGAGGGAGGTAGGGAGGTAGGGAGGGAGGGAGGGAGGAAGGAGAGGAGAGAGAGCAAGAAAGGACGAAAGAGTGAATGCAATCGCAAAGCTTTCTGGGCCGTTGGATCTGTCGCAGAAGCAGAGCCTGAGGGCGTTTGTGGCTTCGGAAGATGGCGATGGTGGATGATGAGTAGACTATGGGAATGTCGATGATTGAGAGAGGGAGGGAGGGATGGAGGAAGGAGAGGAGAGAGCAAGAAAGGACGAAAGAGTGAATGCAGTCGCAAAGCTTTCTGGGCCCTTGGATCTGTCGCAGGAGCAGAGCCTCTGGGGATGGTGGATGACGAGTCGACGATGGGGATGTCGATGGTTGATGAAGACGACGATGGTTAATGAAAATGACGATTAAGCGCATAGGATTATGAGACCTTGAGAAGGGTGCTGAGGCTGGTCTCTGGAAATCCTACGTTCTTTTTGTTTGTTTCTTTTTTGTAATGAATGGATGGATTTCTACCCTCTTTTCCCCTGTCTAGAATGCATGGTCATTATCGCGGCATCTGGACTGGAAGTTGCCCAAATACAGCTACGATGACCGTGCGTTCGCTAGCCACAAACGCCCTGCTTCTGCGATGGATCCAAGGCCCCACAAAGCTTTGCGATTGCATTCATCTCTCTCGTTCTTTCTTGCTCTCTCTCTCTCTCCCCTC